CCCCCCCCCCGTCCCCATTACTCAAGCCCACCCTCCAGTTGAAGGACACAACAGTGACCATTGCATAGTAGAGGGTGAGTGAGTCTGTGAGTTGAACCTCCTGAGAGTGGACTCTCTCTGCAGTGGCCTGTCCATGTGCCCAACAGCCATGGCCCCCATGATGTCACCAACCCGCTGTGTTGCTTGGCAACTTTTCAGGATTAGCACTCTGCCCCTGTCATCCCTGACGTCCCACCATGGGCTGATGTTGCCCTGGCAACCAGATGGGTACTGCAGCTTTTTGGACAGCTGTTCCCAGTGTGGGAAATGCCAGGCAAAAGCAGGGAAGCAAGTGGCTCTCCACAGGCCAAATGGGGTACACAGCCTATCCCCAGGCTGCTGAAAACAGGGGTTAGGGGGGTATGTCCCCTGGAAGAGCGTGGCTACCCTTGCTTCCAGTCCCCCTCACACTTCTTCCTTCCTTCCACAGTGGTCACTGAGTGCCTACCCTGTGAATGCTAACGAGAAAAGCAAATAGAACCATGGTTGGGGCTCAGAAAGGTTGCACCAGCATAGGTATTAAGGATGAGGAGTTGGCCAGGAATAGGAGCTGGTGGACAGAGATGTTCTGGACAGAGGAAACAGAAGCTTGTGCAAAGGCCAAATCACTGTCTTCAGTCACAACTTATACCGTCCCTCCGAGTTCCTCGTGGCCTGGCCTCTCTGACTCTCCTACTCAACAGGCATTTTATGGGAGGGACAGGGTCCAGTTCAAATCTGAATACTTAATGCCCAGCACAGGACTGGTACCAAGCCAGCATTACTAAAATGTAAAATAAAATAGGACATTTATGTAATGAGCATCAGGCCCTACTGCCACCTCCAATAGGAACCTTTCTTACCAAGCCTCAGTTTCCCCACCTATGAAATGGGGCCACTTCTGAGAAGGCTCTGGGAAGGGATTCTCAAGTGGAGGTGGGGTGATTTTTAAATTTTCTTTTGGTTTGTAACCCACCTCTTTTCCTTACAGAACAATTGAAAGACCGGTAGAGTAGACATCTGTAAACCTTCAGATTCCCTAATTGTTAGCATTGGACCACTTTTGCTTTATCTCCTACCTGTACTTATCTATTTTTTATTTTTATTTATTGCTTTTAGAGAGAGAGAGGAAGGGGGAGCGAGAGAGAAGGGAGGGAGGGAGAGAGACAGAGAGAGAGACAGAGAGAGAGAGAAACATCGATTTGTTATTCCACTTATTTATGCATCCATTGGTTGACTCTTGTGTGTGCCCTCTGGGGATCAAACAGCAACCTTGGCATAGCTGGAGGACACTCTAACCAACTGAGCTACCCCGCCAGGGCCTACCTGTGCTTACCTACATATTAATTTTGCTGAGCCATTTGAAAGTCGCAGCAGCAGACGTCCTGACATTTGCCCTGAATGTTTCAGTCCACATCAGCTAAGACAAGGACAGTCTCCCACGTAAACACAATACCATGATCGCATCTAAGAAAAGTAAACAAAATTCAATATCCAGGACAGGCAGGAGGAGGAAAGCCCGAACCCACGCGGGTCATTGGAGCAGTGGGCGCCTGAAGCTAGGGAGGGGTGCAGGCGCACCCACTGCCCACCCAGAGGAGGTGCAGGAGGAGTTGCAGCGGGTGGGTGGGTGCGGCTCTTACGCTGAGCGCCCCCTGCTCCCCCTGTGAGAACTGGAAGCCACCGTTTGGGCAATGACCTGGCATGGCCTGACTATTGGCTCTGCAGCTGTGGCTTAAACACGAATTTCCAATTCGTAAATGTCCCCTCCCATTCTCCCCAAATTATTTGCATAGCTTTAAAAAAAACCCACAAAAACAGGATTCAGTAAAAGTTTTCGCACTGCATTTGGCTTTATTGTCTCTCATTCTAGAAGCGTCTGGGAGGGGAAAGGGAATCCGGGGCGTGGATGTGAGAGCCTAGAGGGCTAACACTTTCCCGCCGCCCCGAGGTGGCCCGAGCGGGGAAGGGGAGGGGAAGCCGCGAGCGGGCGGGAGGAACCAAGTCCAGGCGTGGGGGGGGCCAGGCCCCGGCAGACTTGGCGAGGTTCCGCCGGACGCGCCGACCCCGCGGAGCCGGATGGTCTCGCCCCTTAGCAACGGACCCAGCCTCCGTCCCTAGAGACGGGTCGCCAAACGCGACACTGCGCTGTGCAAACGGTAGGTCGTTGGGGCCGGGGCTTGGCGGGGCGAGCGCGGGCTGGGGGACCCCGATAAGGCGCAGAGGGCAAGCGGACAGGAAGGAGGACTCCCTCCGGGCCCAGGGTCCACGACCAGGTTTCCTGAGCCTTGGCAAGTGGGAGAGGAGTGGACGCATTTTTTAAACAACCTTGCAGATAAGTCCCGTGTTTACTAGACCGGTTTTGGGGACCCTGCCCCTCCACCTCCACCTCCCGTGGAAGACCCAGGAAGGGAAGGAGCCGAGATTCTGGCCCTCATCAGCCACCCAGTTGCTCTCCTGATGGCCACCACATCTAGTCTCCTTAGTCCTCAGTGTCCCCATCTATAAATTGTCAGAGTGCTGAGGCACCTATCTCCCAAGTTGTTACAGAAATCACCAGCCTCCCTTTACTTAATTCATGCATTCAGTCATTTGGCAAACACTGTCTAGGCACCTACCCTGTGTGTAAGCCTGTGTCAGTGCCCTGCTAGGTACCAAGGTTCTAAAGATCAATGTTACTCAAAAATTCCTGCATATGCAGCCCCCATGCTCAGCAGGCAGATGAGACAGGTGTTTACATATAATAACGGGAGATGTTCACTGGTGGGAGGAGCCTCAGACAGCTGTGGGAAGACAGAGGAGGTCACATCAGGTGAGTACTCCAAAAAGGAGGGAGCCCAAGCCTGTGGGGGTTATTAGCATCCACAGTATTATTTGCCAGGTAGCCCTACAAGGACAGAGACTTCCAAAAACCCTTAAGCCACAGATCCACTTGTCAAATGAGATCTGTGAAATGGTATGTGAAACATAAAGGTACAGGGTCCTTGTTGAGTCAGGGTGGGTGGCTTAGAAGCCGTCTGGCTTGGGCTCTCTTCCCCCAGGTTTTCACTTTGCAGAGCCTCAGGGTTCCTTGGTACACAGTTTGAAAACCACTGCTGTGGTGCTTTGGACCTTTAGGTCAGCCAGAGGTAAAGACCTCAGTTTCCATTCTGGTTCTGCCAGTTCTTGGCTGTGTGTCCTTTGCAAGTTTCTAGACTGCTCTAGACCTTAATTTCCTCGTTTGTGGATTGCTGATAAAAATAGTACCTGTTGTGCAGATCAAATACACTTGTTCATCTGTGTCCATTCAACCCCGCGCCTGGCAGGTGGTTGGGTCACATGGGGTTGAATGTCAGTGAGTCCAACCTGAAGCTTCCTCCAGCTCAAGCCAATAGGGCTCCCAGGTGATCTGACTGGGGAGAAAGAATAACTTGGGTTCAGATTCTAACTGTGCCTCTTCCTGGCCGTGTGCCCTTGCATAGGTCACTTATACTCTCTGGGCCTTGTTTTTCCCACCTCTGAGAAATGAAGGTAGTCTCAGTTCCCACCTCAGGGGTTTAAATGAGATGGTGCATGAATTACATCTAAGCCCCTTAATAACATTCACCATTCCCAACACTGGGCCAGCCCTGACATCTTACTGGCCAGTTGCCTCACACAAATGAGGGAGAATGCCCAGCAGAGGTCTTGCTGGGAGCCATGTCCTCTCCTTCTTGCCAGCCACACTCATTTCCGTGCAGAGGCTGCCATCACCCATGGGGTTGTGACAGAAGAGCGAGGTCTTTTTGTCTGTCTGTCACATGTCCTGTGCACACTGGCAATGTACAGGTGCCCAGAGCTGGGGTGAGTGGGACTGGAAAGAAGCTATTGATCCTTGTGAAGGGCTGAGGGACAGAGAAGAAACAGGACTCTGAGTGTGCAGGCCAGTCTTCCACCTTCCTTCTTGGGACATGCCTAGATGCATGTTTCCACTGCCAACCTGCTCAGAGGGAAATGGCTCATAGAGACAGCAAATCCCTCCATCACAGACTCCTTTTGTCCTCAGCAACACTGATTTCCTAGACATTTGTGCATCTATCTCCATCAATCTTTATAATAGACCAGTGAAGCGGCTGAGCATATTTAAGCCTATTTGAGAGCTGGAGAAACCAGGGAATGGAACACTTTCCTGTGGAGCTGAGACCTTGGCCTCTCCTAGATCTGCTGTATTTGTTGATTTTGTTCATCAAAGATGAGACAGACATCTGTAGGTTTATAGCCATGATGGGGCTGATCCCCAGTGGATCCTCTGTCCTTCAGGATGCTCTGGGAAGGGCTGGTGACTGTCAGACAGGTGGACCAGACTTAGCATTGTTTTCAGCACCTGCCCAGGGAGGCAGCTGGCTACCAGGGAGTGGATTTGGGGAACAGAATTCTGGTAGGATAAGCCTGACTGGATAGAAGCTGCTCAGCCTTTCGGCTCAGAGTCTGGGGCTCTGCGGCTCAGAGTCTGGGGCTTCCTGCCAGAGCCCCATCTGCCCTTCACAATCCCTCAACTCACCATCCCCTTCTTAGAAATGGACTCAGCAGCTGCAGGCTGCTTCAGCATTGCTGGGGAGCTTGCTCCACACAGCCCTGTCTGCTCACCCACCTTTCAGATCAGTCCAGGCAAGATGCCCCTACCGTGATCCAACAGGAGGCCTATACCAGCCAGTTTCAACAGTGGCTAAAGTGGAGATGATGGAGCATGGAATGCCTAGCCAAAAGAGCCGCCTGTATTGCAAATTGGTGGTTGCCTCCTCCCAGTGTGGAGGGGGTGGGAAATGGAATGGGGAAGGGGGAGAGGGTGTTTCTCAGACCATTTTGTTAAAATGTTCGCCTTTTTTCCCTTGAAATTTTTATTGAGATAATTTAGACTCGTTCATTTTAATTTTTGCATCAGTATTATATGAAAACCTCTCCCATACCTTTGTCCAATTTCTTATAATGCTCCCTGACCAAGGAGTTCACCCCGTGATGCATTTTGAGGTAGCCAAAAGCAACAATGGCTCGGCAAGGGCTTGTTCCCCCCACAATGAAAACTCTGCATGCCCTTGACCTGGGTTGATCATGCAACCCAGTAGCACGTCTGCTGCTCCCTTTGGGGAGATAGGAGGGTGTATGTTTTCTAAACTGGCCAACCCTGAGCGAAGTTGCTGGCAGTGGAATCTGTGGGCAGTGGAGGGTCAGTGTCCCTCTGTGGAGGCCATTTTGTCCTCTGGATCCTAGGGTATGGTTGGTAGGGCAGGGCATGGCCCTGTCCCCACATGGGGAGAGGCAGGGCATCCAGCAGGGCTGGGATGAGGGCACTGGGGCTGCCGGTGGGTGAAAGCCATTTTGGGGAAAACCAAGCAGGGTCCTTCTTTGACTAAGTGAGCTCTGAGCTGCCCTCTTTGTCTCCCCTTGTGAAAGCCAAGCCTTGCACTCTAACATGAGGGAGACGGGGTGGGCAAATGGGTGGGGGCATTTGCAGAGCTTCCCAGACTTTCTTTGCTCAGCCCTACCTACTCTGGGGGCTCATTTCTCACATGCAGCATGCAAGAAAGGCCCCATCTCCTGGTGGGAGACACTGCATTGTGTGCCTGTCTAGATTAGGCAGAGACCACTCCCTCTCTTGATGCTCCCTCTTCTGTTATCCATGCATAGAAGGCTGGGCTTGTTTCATGTGGCAAACAAGGCATCCTGTATCATGGTGTCCCTGGAGACTGAGCAGAGGCTGGCAAGGGTCCAGTGATGCCAATATCTTCTCCTAGGAGCTCTGGCTGGGACATTGCCCTGAGAGACAGCATGGAAGAGCATTATAAAGAAAGCTGCTGCCCAGGAAAGAGCCCTCAAAACCCAGAGTCGTCGAGTATTTCTGACTTCCAAAAGTATACTGTGAAGAAGACTCCTGCCAACCTAGAGAATAACCTGAGGAAGGTTCTTCTGGGAACAGATTCTGAGCCGGAGAAGCCTCGTCCAAGCCCTGACCCCAATCCCCCAGCTTTATCCTTGCGCCTGGTCCCATCCATTCCCTCAGATTTGGGGCAGCCCCGGAAATTGCCCCTGACAAGCACTGATAAGAAGTACCCACTGATGAAGCAGCATGGGTTCTACTCTGACATCCTTGGCCCTGGAAGCTTGGATCAACTTGGGGTGAGTGTGGCACCATCTCCTACTAAGCCTGAGTCCTTGTGGGTTCCATTTGCCCATCCTTCCATCCTTCCTTCCATCCATCCATCCATCTATCCATCTGTTCATTTATTCACTTCTCCATCCATCTGCCCATCCATCTATCTATTCATTTGTCCATCCATCCACCCACCCATCCACCCTTCCATCCATCCTTCTTACCATCCATCTGCCCATCTATCTATCTGTTCATTCATTCAACAATTCGTTACTGAGTACCTGCTGTGTGAAAGGCCCTGGACTGAGCACTGGAGGCAGTGAAGATGACATATACATCTCTCTTGTCATGGGGCAATGGCTTTGGTGGGGAAGTTATCCCCCCCCCCCCCCC